GTTTATTTTAAAAACAAAATGTTTTTGTGAAATGAAAAAATAAATGTTAAGCAGTGAAAGGTCATTAAAAAGCTGTAGAAATCCAACCCTCTAAAAAGAGCAAGAGAATTTCAATCATTATTTCTATTCATTTTTTCCACCTTATAGATAAAAATGTGCCGTTTGAGAATGCATTAAAAAATCATACAAGATGTGTTCAAATCAAATTAGTGAAAAGAAAAATCTGATTGAATATCTGCTCAAATATGAATTCACTTATTTATTTTAGACATTGGGAGCCTCGCAGTAATAGATTGTCATTAATTATTCAGACTTTATACTTTTCCGAAGCAAAGTCATCGAGATAGAGACAGAAGGTACTGTGCTGCATTTCGGCGACCCATCTTCCTACAAGTTACTTAACAATAAAATTTAATATCCATTAGAGTTGCACCGATACTAGTATCGGGCAGGGTCCCGATCCAGCACTAAAGTGGTGGTATCGGTATCGGTGAGTACCAACAAACGGGACACGATACAATTTTGAGAGCCAAAAGTTTATTCAACTATTGTCACCCATTCCAGGTAGGCAATTAAAAAGTTCTACTGGATTCATTTTAAGTCTTTTTCCTGCTTCACGAAGGTAGGCAGCATCTTGACAAAGCCATAATGGCAATTATTTTACATGGAAGTGGTATGCAGTTCTTCATATATACACACACATCAATTTCACCCAGATGGTATAGGTATGATATTGGCCAATACTGCCAGGTATGGGGTATCGCTATCGGGGCCAAAAAATGGCTTTGGTGCAACACTACTATCCACTATTAGCCTGTGGGAGGAAGTGAGAGTACCCGGGGAGAACACATGCATGCACCAGAAGAACATGCAAAATCATGGAGATAATGACAGAAGGTGCAAGTAGTGTGCAGTTCTTCATATATACACACACACATCAATTTCAAACAGGGTATAGGTATGGTATTGGCCAATACTGCACAGCCAGGTATCGGGTATCGGTCACGCTTATCCCAAATGAGGTTGCAAGGGGTTTTGGTGCCTATCTCCAGCTGTCTACGAGCGAGAGGCGGTGTACACCCTGGACAGGCCGCCAGTCTATCGCAGGGCAACACAGAGACAAACAGGATAAACAACAATTCATGCACGCACTCACACCTAAGGAGAATTTTGAGAATCAAATTAACCCAAGTCATGTTTTTGGCCTGTGGGTGGAAGCCAGAGTACCCGGAGAGAACCCACGCATGCAGAAAGATCCCGGACTGTGAATCGAACCCGGCATCTTCTTGCTACAAGGCAGCAGTGCTACCCACTGCCTCACATGAGCAGCCCTAAAATTCACTATTGTGACAAATTTCATTGAATAATTGCATATTAGTGTTCAGTTATAAACATAAACTAGAGCAAAAAAAAAAAAAAAACAGACACAGAATACCTTATACTTATTCTTAGACCTTAAAGCCTCTATGGAGGACCTGTGGATTATTCTGTATTAAACATAAGAAAGATTGTCTTGTCCTGCCTTCCCTCCCAATCGTTGCCCTTAAACTGCATGCAGATGTCATGTTTGTCATAGTGTGTCGTGTCGTGCAAGTAGGCATGGTGTCGTCTGCTCCCTCATATGTAATTTGTGTCACGGCTGCTGTCCCGGTGCGACTGCAGGAGCTTAAGGCAACAGCTGTTCTCTGATGCTCAAACTCTAGCAACAGAGACAGATTTCTGCTCCTCTGCGTTTGAGCCTTTCCTCTTCTGTGTTTGCTCAAATCAAACACGGACGTGTGATAAAAGGTCAGATTCCTTTAAAGGGATTTTTTGCTTATGTGATTCTGAGGGTCTGAAATGGTCTGAAAGAAAAACTGTTTATCTGTTCATTAAAATAATGTTAATATTTACAACTGCTCTTTGTGAGAGTAAAAAAATCTGACCATAGAGGAAAATTGGACTGATTAAGTTGTTTTTTTTGTTTTCTGTAAGTCACCTGCTTAATGTTTATGGGTGTTAAGGCCCAAAAAGGGTCCCAAAAATAAAACATATAAAAAGATTATGAAACCCTCTCAGTCACAGAGAAAAACAAAACAAAAACTATTCTCTTTGAATAAAAGCTTCAACTAGGTCACATGTCGTACATCTATACAACCATTTTTGTCACATTTCCTACTGTTGCTCCTGAGCTGACAGTCAGATGAGAGAGCTGAAGAAAACCTTGTTCCCTGCTCCCTACTCAGGCTTTTATTGTGACATTCCCTTTATTTCATAGTGGTATATCCCTTTAACCTCTCTTGGGAGGTGATTAAAATATATATTGTTAAAGGCTTAAGTTAGCTGAGCTGTTGTTCTAGACCTGGATACAGATCTCAACTGGTTTCATTTGAAAAAAGTCATGAACCAGTTTGCAATACTGTCCCTACTCAGCTGAAGGCCTAGAAAGTCATTATTTGGGGTCTAATAATATTTATACTAATAAAAAAATATAGACTATTAGGTCAAAGAGAGAGACAGGAAATGTTGGCAACAAAACTAAAAATCTCAATATTTTCTAAAGGTCTTAGTAACAACCTTTAAAAATACCTGTTTTATCTATCAGTGAATTTGGTTCATATATTCCACTTCTTATGCCACATTAATAACTTTTATTTACATAATCTCTTAGAACCTTCTTAATCTTACAAAGCTTTTTTAATAGTGTAAAGTTAGATCAGTTTAATGTTTAGTTTCAGTTCCTGATGCTCTGCATTCTAACCTGTTTATCTGGGTTTTTAACAGATAAACAGATTCCCCAAAACATCAATAGCATCAATGAACGCTGAAATGTGTCCATGAAGCTTCCACTGACACATGTTTTCTTTTTAAACAAATCTCTTAGCTTCACATTACTGAGGGACATTCCAGTCATTTAGTTTTCTGTACCACTACGTTTTTTTGTTCTCTCGTGCTCGGTGGACCTGTACGTCTGTCCTCAGCCGTCCATCAGTCAGTTCCCACAGGGACGCATAAGGAGGCCAGCAGCAGCTAAGTAATATTAACACAGACAACCCAAACCAGGGACATATAGGATATCTAATATCTTGTGGCCTTACTGAGCTTTTTGCTTTCCTCATAAACTGTTTTTTAGATGTGTTGCCTAGTTTGTAGCTGTAATTAACCTTCCAGCTTCCATATGCACAAGCATAATCAACATCCTTCAGCGTCTTCTTTCTGCCTGTCCCAAAGTCAAATAATTCCTTTGTTTTTGCCTTTTCAACTGAACAGGGTCCCCCAAGGGAATGTTTGTTTAATAGCAGGGAGCAGCGGCTCCATGCTTTGATTCTCAGCCTTCCTGTGAGCTGCCAAGAGGAAGGAGAGAGGAAGAGCTTCCAAGTGCTTAAAACAGGGGAGGTTTGAATCAACTATGGAATAACATAGCTTGGTTTATTTACAGGGTTTATACAGGAATGAGCAACTATAATTTAATGCTCCTTTAATGCTCTGAGAAATAATTTTAATGCCATCAACAAGTACTCATGACTGTCATATATACACGGCAAATTCCTTCTTCATCTTTACCGTCGACAGGCTGCAATTCCTCGATTTCCAGCCGCTTTTGTTGAAATTAGCATTTTCCAATTCTCAAGCCTTTTCTCCGCCTCGAGCTTCTTTTCCGAACATATGGCTTTATGATCAACTGGAAGCAGTTTCGCGCAAATATGCAAACATATCGCCATATAATATATGGCGATATGTTTGCAAATATATATATCGTTTAATAAACTGTTTTTTATTCTAAATGAAGCATTTTAAATGCCATTAATAATCACATTTAATGAACTTTAATGCTAATTCTACGGAAGAGGATTAGGCCCAGTG